TGCTGCTGCTGTGCCCCCAGGAGACAGCAGCAACTCCACAGCCTCAGGCAGACGATCAGAAGAGACAAGAGAGACAAAGAGGCACCGCATGCTTCCAAATGTCTTATAAAGGAGACCCAACTCCGATGCTGCAGCTGCAGCAGCAACAGCAGCAGCAACAGCAGCAGTAGCAGCAGCAGCAGCAGAAGCAGCAGCATGAACGAACAGAAGAAAATAAACAAAGAAGTAAACAAACAAACAAACAAACAAACAAACAAATAAATAATAATAAACAAATAGATAAACAATTAAATATAAACAAATAAATAAATAAATAAATAACAAAGACACGGACAAATAGACAAAACTTACCGATGGCTTGCTGCTCTTGATGCAGCAGCGGCACTGTGCTGCAGCATCCTTCGCAGCTGCTGCAGCGAAGGTAAGGCATAGAGTAGAGTACAGCAACTGCTCCTGCTGCTGCTCGCTTGCTGCTGCTGCTGCTGCTGCTGCTGCTGACGCAGTGCGGAAGAGCGATTGCTGCCACGCACCGACTGATGTCTAGGTTGCTGCTGCTGCTGCTGCTGCTGCCGCTGCTGCTGCTCCACTGAGGGTGGAGGTAGCAGCGCAGGTAGTTGTCTGCTGCTGCTGCGAGACCCCGCACTGAAAAGCCCTCCTCAGAGACAGCAGCAGCCGAAGCAGCAGCAGACGAGTAGGAGTTGCTGCCGCTGCTGCTGCTGCTGCTGCCAGGAGACAGCAAACCACTGTCTAAGCTCCTAGATTGAAAACCAGCACCACCACGTTGCAGCGTCAGCTGCTGCTGCTGCTGCTGCTGCTGTTCGCCCCGGTCTGCAGATGCCGGTGTGCTTGCATCACGACTATGTTGCTGCTGCTGCTGCAGTTGCTGTTGCTGCTGCTGCTGTTCCTCTATTTGCTGCTGCAGCTGCTGCTGCCGCAGCTGTCCCCACAGCAGCTGCAGGTCTGAACTCACGGAGGCTCTGTTTACAGGAAGAGCAGCAAGCTGCAGTGCTGCATGCACTGGTGGCAGCAGCAGCTGCAGCTGGGTTGCTGCTGCTGCAGCAGCAACGCGTCTCTCAGCAGCCACAGCAGCACAGACAGAAGAAGACATACCCCGAGGCAGAGGAGGGAGCCTCAGCCGTAAGTTGCTGCTGCTGCTGCTGCTATTGTTGGTGTTGGTGTTGCTGTTGCTGGCCGCCTTAGCTGCTCGCGCAGCAGCAGCCGCAGCTGCTGCTGCAGCAGCAGCAGCAGCAGCAGAGGGAGGCAGCAGCAGCGGAGTAATCTTCCAAGCAAAAGGCAGTTTATGAATCCTGCGGTGTACAACCAGGTAAGACACACCACGTAAATAACAATTAAGAGCATAGAAGGAAGCAACTTGGGGCTGCATTATGCCGCACTCTAAAGCAGCAAGACAGCTGCTGCTTAGCTGCTGCTGCTGCTGCTGCTGCTGCTGTGACATATGAGCAGCTGAAGGGCCGGATACAGTAGAAGACAGGGAACCAGCGGGAACCCCTGTTGCTGCTGCTGCAGCTGCAGCACGACGGCGGGTGCTGCTGCTGCTGTTGCTGCTGCTGCTGCTGCTGTTGCTTGTTGCTGCAGTCATTCCTGCTGCATCTACTGGTGAGGCAGTCCCTTGATTTGCTGCAGACTGTGCAGCAGAGCTACGACGAGCAGCAGCAACAGCAGCAGCAGCAGCTTCTAGTGGAGGCAGTCGTGATAAGACCTGCCGCAGCAACTGCTTTTCCGTCAGGCCCCATGGCCGCTGCTGCTGCTGCTGCTGCTGCTGCAGTCGAGAGCGCAGCAGAGCCCCACTAAGAGCAGGTGTGCTGCTCATGCTGCTGCGGCTGTTCCATTCAAGTGCACAGAAAAACACCGTCTGCTGCTGCTGCTGCTGTTGCTGCTGCTGCTGCTGCTGGGGTGTACAGACAAGCAGCGAGGCAGAGGCACGGCAACTCTTTGCCGTTGCAACCAGTGCAGCAGTTAGCTGCTGCAGCAGCACTTCATCACCAGCACCAGCAGCAAGACCACATTCTTTCAGCTGCTGCTGCTGCTGCTTCTGCTGCTGCTGCAGGAAGTGTGTCTGGTGCATGTTGCTGCTAGATGTAGCTGCTTGTTCGGTGTCTTGCTGCAGCTTGCTGGCCTCTGTGTGATGTCCCTGTGCTGCAGATGCAGCAGCACTAGCTGCAGCAGCGAGGTGCTGCTGCAGGAGGTGCTGTTGCAGCAGGTGCTGCTGCAGCAGGTGCTGCTCCTTGTTGAGAGACAGCGCTGCATGCAGAGCAGCACGTGCAGCAGCAAACATACCTATGCGACAGAGAGACACAACTCTCACTTCAAGCACAGGGAAGAACCTTACGCTGCCGATTGTCTCCGCCAGTCTCTCTCCCCAGTCTGCTGCTGCTGCTGCTGTTGTTGCTGTTGCTGCTGCTGCTGCTGCTGCTGTGTGTTCGATGGCTGACGCAGGCGCGGTCGTGCTTAGTGCTGCTGCTCTTCCTCCTGCTGCTCCAGTGGACGCAGCAGCAGGAGAAGCAGCAGCAGCAGGGAAACCGCATCTAGGTGTTGTAGCAGCAGCATGCGTAATCCTAAGCAAAGGGGTTTTGTGTTGCTGCCGCTGCTGCTGCTGCTGTTGCTGTTGTTGCTGTTGTTGCTGCTGCTGCTGCTGTACCAGCAGCAGCGCCGCTTGGAAGTAGCTGCTGCAGAGTCTCCAAGCAAGAGACAGCTCATCACAACGCAGCAGCGTGTCTCTGAGTTTTGCTGCTGCACGTGGCTGCAGCAGCAACTCTATATTAGGTATATAAGCCCAGCGACTCCACAGTGCAGCAACAAAAGGCAGCAGCTGCTGCAGCAGCAGCACGCGAGCCCTCACCCATTGAAACCCCCCAAACTTCTCCAAACACTGCTGCAGCAGCTGCTGCAGCAGACTCATTAGCGCTCCGTACGGCAGCAGCAACAAAGGCATGCATTCACCTCTCCCTGCTGCTTGTTCTGCTGGTGCTGCTGCTGCTGCTGCTGTAACTCCAGCGTTGTAATCGGCCCGATGTTGCAACACAGGCGCAGCACTATCCGCAGCACCTGTTGCTGCTGCAGCGTCTGCAGCAAATGAGCAGCCCTCTGCTGCAGCACCACCCGAAGCTGCACCAAATGCAGCAGCAGGTTCTGCTGCACCCGATTCAGCAGCAGATACAACAGCAGCTGCAGCACCCGATGCAGCAGCAGGTGCAGCAGCAACAGCACCTGATGCAGCAGCAGGTGCAGCAGCAGCAGGTGCAGCAGCAGGATAAAGTCTCTGGAACTGTCTCCTTAGAGCGCAGGGCAGAGCATTAGATAGAGGGATACTTCCTTTGCCTTTCATCTGGCTGTACACCGCAGCAAACGAAGAGCGCTGACAGTGAAGAGCAGCAAAACTGTTGTAGGCAGTGCTGCACAACTGGCGCGTAGCCCCAAGGCTGTTGCTGCTGCTGCTTCGAGCTGCTGCTGCTGCCTCGGATGCTGCTGCAGCAGCAGCGGAAGGAACTTCAGGCGCCGTTGCAGTCCGTAAAGATGCCGCTGTCGCTGCCTCTGCGTCTGCTGCTGCTGCTGCTGCTGTTGCTGTTGCTGTTGCTGCTGTTGCTGCTGTTGCTGTTGCATCTTCTTCTTTTATCTGTACACACTCTGCTCGCCTGACGCAGTTGGCCTCGCAGCATCTGCCGTTTGCTGCTGCAGGTGATGCTGCTGCTGCTGCTGCTGATGCAGCAGCACCAGGAGCAGCAGCAGCAGTGGACTGCCCGCATGCTGCCATGGGGTGTCTGTACAGCGCAACCCGCAGCAGCGACGCGACCTCCGCGCAGATTTGGAGACAGCCAAGTGCTGCTGTGCTGCTGTCCCCTGGCAGCAGCTGCAGCAGCTGCTGCGCAACAGCAACAGCTGGCAGTGCTTCAAATGTATGCGCAGCACGGATTCTGTCGTTTGCTGCTGCATCTGCTGTAAGCACCCACCGACCACCAAAACCCCAACTAGCTGGAGGCAAGCCTGCCTCTTCGTTTGCTGCTGCTGCTGCTGCTGCTGCAGGTACTGCTTCTGCTGTTCTTGTCGTTGCGGTGCGTTCAGTTTCTTGGGGGGCCTGTAACATGGGTGCTGCTGCTGTTGCTGCTGCTGCGTTCACAGCAGCAGCAGCAGCAGCAGCAGAAGGGACAGGGAGGCCGAGTGCTTTTCTCGCATACTGCAGCAGCAGATTGTCGTCTCTTAACGAAGGCCACTGCAGCAGAAACTGCTGCAGCAGCTCTGTCCGGGCATTCAGAATGAGGCTCTCCAGCAGCAAATGGGGGTGCTGCAGCAGCGGCTCGCGGTGTCTCTGCACCTCATCTTCAACTAGCTGCACTAAATGAAGAGATGGCAGCAACTGCTGCAGCTCCTGCTGCTGCTGCAGCGTTAACTGTGCAAACATCTGCTGCTGCTGCTGCAGCAACTCGCACAAATACAGCCGGCCCGCAACCTTAGGGAAACCCCCTTGCTGCGGCAGCCTGACCTCCCCGCACTTGCTGCTGCTGCTGCTGCTGCTGCTGTTGTTACTGCTGCTATTGCTGCTGCTGCTGCTGAGAGAGAGGAGCCGCAAGGCAACACGTGTTGCTCTGCTGCTGCTGAGTGAGAGCAGCCGCCGCATTGCTGCTCCTTGAAAGCCAGGGAGCGACAGCAGCTGCTTCAGCTCTTCCTCAGCTAGCCACTCTTGCAGGTAGCTAGCTGTCTCGCTGCTAGGGTGGCTAGCTGCAGCAGCGCAGCAAAGGCTCTCAGCTGGAGAGACACCGGAGCTGTTCAGCAACTGCAACAAACAAAGACACGCAGCTACTTTCACTGAGCTAGCTAGCTAGCTAGCTAGCTAGCTCGACAGATACCTAGCTCGCTAGCATGAAGAATACGCAGCTATCTATCTATCTATTTATCTATTTATCTAGCTAGCTAGCTTGCTTGATAACTGCGTAGTTGGCTAGCTAGCCAGCTTGGCAACTCGCTGCTAGCTAGCCACCTATAGTTAGCTAGCTAGCCAGCTAACTAACTAACTATTGGTGGCTAGCTAGCTAGAAAGCAACGGGTAGACAGGTAGCTAGCTAGTTACTGATAGGTAGTGGCATCTAGCTAGCTAGCTAGACAGCTAGACAACTACCTAGCTAGACAGCTAGACAACTAGCTAGCTAGACAGCTAGCTAGCTAGCTAGCTAGCTAGACAAGCCAGCAAGATGCCTCCGCGTACCTTCAACAAAGCCCTCGCTGCTGCGTAGCCGTTGCAAGCAGCTAAAGTGCGCACCACCTAAACGCACAAACAGAAAACCCTAAACCCTAAACCCTAAACCCTCAACCCTAAATACCTGAAAGAGCCGCAGATGTTACACACCTAAACACAACTCCTCTAAACCCTAAACCCTAAACCCTAAACCCTAAACCCTTGTATCTCCGTTGTGTTGGTGGATTGCATTCTCTTTATTCTTATACGCGCACGTGAGAAGGGTTTAGGGTTTAGGGTTTAGGGTTTGAAAGCTAGGGTTAAGGGTCAATGGCCTGCAAATTAGGGTTTAGGGTGTGGGGTTTGAACGCTAGGGTTTGGGGTTTAGGGTTTGGCAGCTAGGGTTTAGGCGTGTGCGTGCCTTGAGGGCTTGAAGCTTAGGGTTTAGGGTTTAGGGTTTAGGGTTTACCTTTTGAATGCCGCTTTCTGTTTGCATGTCGCTGTGGAGGTCTCGCCAAGTACCCCACATTCCCTTAGAGGCTTCAATTGCTGCGCTGTAGCAGCGCCAGGTGTATAGGCAGCCTCGTGTCTGCAGCAGCAGCAGCAAACAAGGCCCGCTGCTGCAGCAACGCAGCTGCTGCTGCACCTGCGATACGGCACGCAGCGCTGCTGCAGCAGCAGCACCAGCTGCTGCTGCAGCTCTTTCTTCTGCTGAACCCCCAAATGCACTGTCTTCGCAGTCATCCATATCAACTAAAGCCCCCCCACCTGCTGCTGCTGCTGTTGTTGTTGCTGCTGCTGCTGTACCGTGCCTTGCTGTGTGCTCCAACGCAGCCAGCAAAGGGTGCTGCTCTAGGCAGCGACATTCACTGCTGCTGCTGCTGCTGCTGGTGCTGCTGCTGCGGCTTAGTGCTTCCTTTTGGGATGCATCCGGTGCCTGTTGCTGTTGCTGCTGCTGCTGCTGCTGCTGCTGAGCTGCTGCACTTTCTTGCAGCCTCGCCTTACAGAACGCCACAGTTTTGATGCAGATATCTGCAGGCCAAGCAGCAGACAGCAGCAAGGCGTTGCGTGTTGCTGCTGCTGCGCTGCTTTGACGCATTATACAGTCTGGGAGCGACAACTCCTCTTGATTACCATCGCACTCTTCTGCTGCTGCTGCTGCTGCTGCAGCTTCTGTTGCTGCTGCTGCAGTGGCTGTTGCTGCTGCTGCAGTCGCTTCTGATGTTGCTGCTGCTGCTTCAGTGGCTTCTGCTGTTGCTGCTGCTGCCTCTGCTGCAGTCAGCCGCAAGGCTGCATCCAAAGGCCAAGCAGGAATTGTTGTTGTTCTGCTGCTTGCAAACCCTTGCTGCAGCAGTGCACCAACACCCTCCTGCTGCTGTTGTTGCTGCTGCTGCTGCAGCGGTGCTGCATCCTCGTCCTCCCCTGCCCTGGGCTCCTGCTGCTGCTGCTGTTGCTGCTGATGCTGCAGCGCCTGGTCTATTACGCAGCTTATCAGCAGCTGCTGCAGCTCCGTATCAGGAGACAGTTGGGCGTCTGCTATCCTCATAGCTTGCTGCAGATGTCCCTGTACACCCCACGCTGCAGCAGCAGCAGCAAAGCAAAGCTCCACTGCTGCTTGGCTATCATCTGCAACAGCCTCCAGTTGTCTCTGCAGCAGCAGCGGCACACGCAGCAGCACAGGAAGCAAGAAAATTAGCAAACGCTACAACAACAGCAACAAAGCAGCAGCAGCAGCAACAGCAGCAAGAAGTGCAACAGCGGAAGCAGCCTTTTGGCTTGTTGCTGCCCCTGCTGCTGCTGCTGTTGTTGGTGCTGCTGTTGTTGCTACGGCTACCGTTGCTGCTGCTACTGTTAGTGCTGTTGATGCTGGTACTGCTGTTGCTGTTGCTGCTACTCCTGTTGTTGTTGTTGCTGCTGCTGCTGCTACTGCTGCTGCTGAGACATACCTTAGCAGCAAAGGGCAGCGCGAGAAGTTGCTGGGGCCTCCAACCCTTGGGGTTAACACTCCACTTGTCGGTTGCTGTTGCCAGTGCTGCTGCTGCAGCTCCTGCTGCTGCTGCTGTAGGCCCTGCTGTTGTTGCTGTTGCTGCAGCTGCTGCTTGAATAGCTCCTGTTGCTTGTATTACTCGCCAGCACCGATGCCTCTCTGCTAACCAGAGACGAAAAGAAGTGCAGCAGCAGCAAAGTTGCTGCTGCGCCAACTGCAGCAGCAGCCCTGAAGGCCACCGCTGAGAGCAACGCTCAGCTATTGCGAGAGGAGCAAGTATAGAAACCTTTCCTTTGCATCTGCTGCAGCAGCTGCTGCTGTTGTTGTTGCTGCTGCCGCTGCCGTTGCTGCTATCGTCGTTGTTGCTGCTGCTGCTGTTGCTGCTGCTGCTGCTTGCAGCAGCAGCATCACGCCGCAGCAGATAGGTTTGTTTTTCTAAGGTTCCTAGAAACAACACTATATCCCTTCGCAGAGCTAAGGAGGAAGCAGGAAAAGGAGGAGGCCACCTGCTGCTGCTGCTGCTGCTGCTGCTGCTGCTGCTGGTTAGCAGCAGCGGATAGAGAGGCAGCGCAGCTTGCAGCAGCACACCCACAAGATCCGTCTGCAGCAAAGCAGCAAGTTGCTGCGCCTCTTGCTGCCCCTCTAAACGGAACAAAACTTCAGCTATGAGGACCTCAGGAGATGCAAACAGCAAACCAAACAGCTGCTGCTGCTGCTGCTGCTGTTCCTCCTCCTCCTCCTCCTCCTCCTCCTCCTCTAGCTGCTGCAGCTCCTGCTCCTCCTCTTCAGACTGCTGCTGCAGTTGTTGCTGCGGCAGGTTGCACTCAGCTGGCTGTTGTTGTTGCTGCTGCTGCTCTTCATCTTCCTCGTGCAGCAGCTGCTGCTCATTCTCCTTCAGCTGCTGCTGCTGCTGCTGCAATTGTTGCTCTTCCTGCTGTTGCTTCTGCTGCTCTCCCTGCTGCTGCGGCTGCTGCTGCTGCCGATGCTGCAGCTGCTGCTCGTTCTGCTTCTCTTCGTGCTGCTGCTCTTCGCCGTGGCTTTGTTGCTGCCCACTGGTTTCCTCTTGCTGCTGCTGCAGCCGTGGTGTATCCTCTTGCTGCAGCAACAGCTGCTGCTGCTCTCGACTCAGCAGCTGCTGCTGCTGTTCACCTGAGCACGTGAGTAGTTCCGCTCCCGCGTGCTCCTGGTGGTGCTGCTGCTTTTGCTGCTGTTGGTGTTGCTGCTGCCGTTGCTGCAGCTGCTGCTGCTGCTTGGCGCAGAGTCTCTGTTTTGCTTCTGTCTGCAGCTGAACAATTCGCTGGAGATAACAAATCAAAGAAAGCAAATATCGGCTTCCCTCTTCTGGTAGCCCCTCCTCTCCTGCTTCCTGCTGCTGCTGCTGCTGCTCGTGCTGCTGCTGGTGCTCCTGCTGCTGTTGCTGCTGCTGTAGCAAACGGTCGTCAGCCAACTCCTCTGTGTTGCCGACTCCGGTGGGTAGGACCGGGGTAGTTCCTTTACTCTGGTGCTGCTGCTGCTGCTGCTGCTGCTGCTGCTGCGGGTCTCCCCTCAGCACCTTCACTGCCTGAGAGAGGAAGCTGCTGCGCGCAGCAGCAGAGGTGAATTGCTGTGTCCCAGCAGCAAGTTGCTGCATCTGCTCCAGCAAGGAAGCAACGGCGGTGTTGCGCTGGTTGAGACTGCAGCACAAACCCGCAGCAGCAACCGCAGCAGCAGGATACAAGAAACAGCTCATGCGCCGCTCTCTAGTGCAGCACAGTGACAGAAAAAAGCAGCAGCAACAGCAGCAGCAGCGAGGCCAGCAGTAACATGGCTGTGCTGCTCTGATGTCACGCAGATGCACTCCCTCGCTGCTGCTGCTGCTGCTGCTGCTGCTGTTGCTGCTGCTGCAAGTACCTGCAAAGGTGAGTCCTCAGCAGATCTGCTTTGATTGGCAGCGTCTCCACCTTGAGCAGCAGCGAAGCCAGTCGCAGTGAATGCATACCTCGCGCTTCAATTAGCACTTCAAGCCTGCAGCAGCAGCAGCAGCAGCAGCAGCAGCAGCAACAACAACAGCGGCAGCAACAAGAAGTGTAGTGGTGTCGGGAGCGAAGTGGTGTTTCCACCAGCAAGTGCAACAGCAGCAACGACGGTACCCAGGAACCAACTGCAGCAGCAGCAGCTGCTGCTGCTGCTGCAGTAGCCAAGAGAAGGAGCAGCAGCAGCAGCAGCAGCAGCACCTGCTGCAGCAGTAGCTGCAACGGGATGGAGGAAGGCCTCAAGTAGCAGCAGCAAGAGTAGCAGCACCAACAGCAGCAGCAGCAGCAGCAGCACGCAGTTACCTGTCTATAGATGTTGCGAGGAGGCTTGTAAGTGCTGATGTTTGAAAGGCTGCAGCGGGGTGGTTTGCTGCTGCTGTTGCTGCTACTGCTGCTGCTGCTTCTGGGTTGCCTGGTGCTGGCAGCTGTTGCTGCTGCAGCAGATGCCGCTGCGAAATTTGCTTTAGCTCCTCGGTAGCGCGCTGCAGCAGCAGCAGCGACACAGTTGCAGGAGCAGCAGCAGCAACAGCAGCATCAACGCATGCATACACTGCAGCAAGTCTTGGGTTGCTTAGCAGCACAGCAACAGATGCTGCTGTTGCTGCGTCACAGTAAGTTGAGAGACAGCCATTAAACACACACCCTGCATCACCCTCAGCTCCTGCTGCTGCTGCTGCTGCTGCTGCTGCTTCTGCTGCTGCTTCTGTGGTGGTGGCAGCTGCTCCTGCTGCGCCTGCTGCTGCAGCTGCTGTACGTGGCGTACACCTGAACAGGAAATGCAGCAACAACAAACCCAGCTACGGCTGTTGCTTAATTCAAAGGAGGAAGACGATAGCAGCAGCACTGACAGCAGCAGCAGCAGCAGCTGCTGCTGCTGCTGCAGCACTCACGCGTCTAAACCAAAGAATATACGGGCAGCTAGGATGCTCAGCTGTCTTCACTGCTGCTGCTGCTGCTGCTGTTGGCCTCACGACTTGTCAAGTGCAGCAAGACACTTATCGAGGGGAGACGAGACCGAAGCAGCAAATACAGCAGCAGCAGCAGCATCTGCAGCATCTTCAGCATCAGCAGCTTCCCCAGCAGCTGCTTCAGCAGCAGCAGCGTCAGTAGCAGCAGCAGGAAGACAGCTGAGGGTATCTCTCAAACATGCAAAGGCTTCCGCCACCGCAGCACTGATTTTCAGGTGTATAGGCAGCTCGAATTGCTGCAGCAACTCCCTGCAGACGCACAGCAACAAATGCAGCAGCAGCAGCAGAGGCAACTCCTACGTGAATATGCGCCAGTGTACCAGCAGTAGCAGCCCCTGCTGCAGCAACCCGTGCAGCAGCAGCCGCTGCAGTAGCAGCAAATCGTGCACCAGCAGCAGAAGCAGCAGCAGCCACATCCAAAGCAGCAGCAGCAGCAGCCACATCAACAGCAGCATCAGCAGCAGCAGGACAGGCTACTGACGCTGCAGTTGCTGAATCATTTTGCTGCAGTGCCCTCGCTAAGAAGAGAGAAGGAGGCTGCAGCAAACGACAAGCAAAGGGATCTGCTGCCAGAGACAGAAGTAAAGCACACGGAGTCGTGTGGCTAGCCAAGTGGTGTCTCCTGCTGCTGCTGTTGCTGCTGCTGCTGCGCTCTGAGCTTATGCATGCTTCCTTGCTGTTGTTGCTGCCGCTCCTGCTGCTGCTGCTGTCGCTGCTGTCGCTGCTGCTGCTGCTGCTAGACAGGGCATCAGTCGAGTACACTCCGATATAGCGAAGCTGCTGCTGCCACTCTGTCTCTTTTGAATGCATTCCCTCCGCAGCAAACTCCCCAGCAGCAGCAGCATCTGGAGCAGCAGCAGCAGCAGTGGCAGCAGCAGCAGCTGCTGCTGCCGAGCCTCCGGCGATGCAAATGGACGCCAAAGGCAACAAACTGAAAAATTGATTTAGCAGCAAACGACACCGCCATATCATCTCCTGCATGCACGCAGCAGCAGCAGCAGCAGCAGCAAGGGTAATTAGCAGCAACTGCTGCTGCTCTGTGGCATGGCATGCAAAAGCAGCAGCAGCAGCAACAGCAGCAGTAGCAGCAACAGCAGACACACAGCCATTGCAGCAAAACCAGTCATGCACTGGGACAGCAGCAGGCGCTGCACCAGCATGAAGGTGCAGCAGCAAGCTGCAGCAGCAGCAGCAAGCTGCAGCAGCAAGACACAAACCTCAACAAAAAGTTTCATTGACTCCATCAAAATGCTGCCAGCCTCTCCAAGGCCCTCACACCCTTGCAGCGCCACCAGATGCTTCCTGCAGCAGCAGCAGCAGCAGCATTAGCAGCAGCATTAGCAGCAGCAGCAGCAACAGCAGCAGCACCATGTGGTGGGCTGTGGATGAGCCTGTATGGTGCAGCGGCAGATGCTGCAGGTGCATTCAGGACAGAAGCAGCAGCAACACCCACAGCAGCAGCAACAGCAGCAGCATTAGCAGCAGCAGCTGCAGCCGCGGCCCTAACCTGATAAAAAGTGCAAGAGATATGAGGACAGCCGGCGGCACCACAAAGGCCCCGCTGCTGCTGCTGCTGCTGTTGTTGCTGCTGCTGTTGCTTGCGTTGATACTAACGCGCCTCTCTCTCTCTTGCTGCTGCTGCTGCTGCTGCTGCTTCATTGCTGCGGTTGAGGCAAACAGCAGCGAGACCAGGCGCAGCAGCAGCCACAGACGGTACTGAGGTCGCTGTACACCTGAGATTAACCTTTCTAAGCAGCGTATACTCTGAATGAGGCTTTCTTGCAGATGCGTTGCTGTTGCTGCTGCTGTTGCCGCTGCTGTTGCTGCTGCTGCTGTTGCGTCAGGTGCTGCTGGTGCTGCTGCTGCTGTTGCTGCTGTTTTCGCGTGCTGCTGGGGATAGAGTGCCAGGCCCTCTGCTGCATCTGCTGCAGCCTCAGCGTTTCGCTGCACTGCCGCTGCGGCTCCGGTGCTGCCGCCGCCGCCGCTGCTGCTGTTGCTGCTGCTGCTGCTGGTGCTGCAGGTTTCTATAAGGCGTATTGAGGCTCTGATAGCGAAGTAAACAGCAGCAACATCTTTATCATGCTGTCTCTCTAACTCAAAGCTGCTGAGCGTCGTTGGTGGCAGTGCAGCAAGCCCCAAAAGAAATGTCTCCTCTTGCATTAGAGACAACGGAGCGCGAAGCGACAGCTGCAGCAGCAGCAGCAGCAGCAGCAGCAAGCAGCAGCAGCAGCAAACAGAAGCGGTAGATGAAACGCCTCATCCAGTAGCTGGAAGCGTACAGCAGTGAAAACGGAGAAAGCAGCAGTAGGAGCAGCAGCAGCAGCAGCTGCAGCAATAACAACATAAGCTGTAGCAGCAGCAGCAACAGCAGCAACAGCAGCAGCAGGTGCTTCGTCGCTTCGGCTTACCGCAAGCAGGAGAGACTGCGTCTCCGTCGCCTCATAAATATCTGCTGCAACCGCTTCTCTCATAGCAGCATATGCAGCAGCTCCTGCTGCTACGCTGCTGTTGCTGCTGAGAACTGCAGCAGCAGCACGGATGCAGGAAGCAGCAGTCGCTGCTGCGCCTGAAACATCCTCTTCAACAAGTGCTGTGTCGGCTGCAGCAGATCCTGTTGCTGCTGCTGCTGTTGCTGCTGTTGCTGCTGTGCTGCTGAACATACGTCGCAGTCTTGCTGCAGCAATTGCTGCTTCCTTGCATCGTTGGCTTGCTGCTGCAGCAAGGGCTTCGACGGCTTCAGGCTGCAGCAGCAAATCTGAAGCTGCTGCTGTTTGTCTCTCAGCAGCGCTTGTCAAGATACTTGCGTCCTTGCTGTTGTTATTGCTGCTGCTGCTGCTGTTGTTGCTGCTGCTGCTGCTGGGTGCAGCAGCAGCCTGTCTCTCGCTGCGCTGCACCACTCTCTGCTGCCTACGTTGCTGCCGCTGACTTTGCTTGGCCTGCTGTTGCTGTTGCTGTTGCTGCTGCTCCTGCTGCTGCTGCTGCTGCTGCTGGAAGGCAGCCTGCAGCTGCAGCAGCAAATCCGCGACAAACCAAGCTGCCGCCATTCGGCTCCGCAGCACCTGCAGAGACAGCGGCGGCGGCAGCAGCAGCAGCAACAGCTTTATCACGTAAGAAAGGCAGGCGCACACTGTTACACATTTGCAAATGCAGGGACAACTGCTGCTGCTGCTGCTGCTGCTGCTGCTTACCTCGATATGCTGTTGCATGTTGCGGTCGCAAGCATAGCGAAGCAGGGGCTTCGGACTTGCTGCTGCTTCATTGCTGTGTGCTGCAGTTGCTGCTGTTCGCGTTGCTGCCGCATGTGCACAGGCATGCGCTGGACAGAGCAGGGTTGCTGCTGCTGCTGCAGCAGCAGCAGCAGCAGGTTCAGCAGCAGCTGCAGCAGCAGCAACGTGGCAGCAGCAAAGTGAATCTAACAGCTGCTGTCTCCTCTCCATCTGTCCCTTGTATGCATCCCACGCCAGCAGCAGCACCGGCGCCCGCAGCTGAGGAAACGGCAGCAGCAGCTGCGATGCTGCTGCAACGTCCCTGCAGCAGCAGCAGCAAAACAATCAGCAGCAGCAGCAGCAGCAGCATCAACAGCAGCACACTCCACCTGAATATTACACGTAGGAACTTGCTGCTGCTTGGAGGGCATCCATTGTGTCAGCTGGGCTACTTCTTGGCCCTGCTGCTGCTGCTGTTGCTGCTGCTGCTGTTGCTGCTGTTGTTGTTGCTGCTGTTGCTGCTGGCTTACTTGGATAGCACAAAGGAGACAGCAGCTTTAAGAGGTAAAAGGAGACAGTGTTCATTTGCTGCCAGCACAAAACGAAAGTAATGCGCCCAAAAGACTTCATAGCGATGGATCCCAAGCGCAGCACTCAGTGCTGCCTCGTCCGCTGCTGCTGCTGCTGCTGCTGCTGTTGCTGCTGCTGCTGGAGCACCAACTTGTCTTTGAGAAGGTTCAGCAGCAACTGCTGCTGCAGCTGCAGCAGAAACATCTTCAAGAGCGGGTGGAGCAACGGGATAAGCTGTAGGGGAAGCACTGCCGCTGCCGCCGCTGCTGCTGCTGCTGCTTGCATGTCTTGCAACTGCAGCAAGAGGCAGCAGCGGAAGCGGAGTTGCGCTTCCTGCTGCTCTCAGCCGCAACCAGCAGTCATCCAGGTGGCAGAAGAGCTGCAGCCCTATGTACTGCAGCAACTTGCTGCTGTTGCTGCTGCTGCTGTTGCTGCTGCTGCTGTTGCTGCTGCTGCTGTTGCTGCTGCTGCTGTTGCTCGTATACTGCAACGAGACAGGGATGTGCAGCAGCGGTTCATGGGCCAGCAGCGCCTCATAGACGTGAAGCCTCACGGCACTACCTCTGCAGCAGCAACAGCAGCAGCAGCAGCACCCGTAGCAGCATTTACAGGAGCAGCAGCAAGATAAAGAGCAGCCAATCAGTTGCAGCAGCAGCAACAATAAAAACACGTGAATGCGCTTGCCTGTCGGCATCTCCGTAGGCAGAAGGGATCCGATCCCACCCCACATCCGAAGGCTCTTCACTGCTACTGCTGCTGCTGCTGCTGCCCCCTCCTTGATTCAGGTCGCGCTTGTCAGCAGCATAAGCAGCTGGGGATCTGCTGCGAGCGAGCGCAGGGGAAGCAGCAGCAGCAGCTGCTGCTGCTGCAGTGGAGTCCTCAGGGCCGCCCTGCTTCGCTTGCGGCGACGGGCGTTGGTCTTGCTGCTGCTGCTGCTGCTTTGAAGCTGCTGCAGCAGCAGGAGGCGCCAGCTGACTTAGGAAAGGAGGGAAGAAACGCGAGACAAGATTAGCAGCAGACCCATCAGCTGCTGCTCGTGGCTTCGCCGCTGGCAACGGGGACGGCAACCTGCAGCAGCAGCAGCAGCAGCAGCAGCAGCAGCAGGGACAGCAGCAGCAGCACAATTGGCAAACGAACCAGTATCAAACCCGTGCGATACGGCAGCAAAGATTGACTAGGTCGCAGCAACATCAACAGCAGCAGCAGCAGCAGCAGCAGCAGAAACACGGTTACCGCACCTGCGGGCGGCGACCGTTGCAGCAGCAGGAGCAGCTGCAGCAGCAGCAGCAGCTGCTGCTGCTGCAGCTCCGCCCCGCTTTTTCTCTGCGTCGTGCTGCAGTCCCGCAGCACTAAGAGCAGCAAACACCTCCACAACAACTGCCTCTGCTGCAGCAAGATCGATCCAACCAAGGTCTTGCAGGGGGCACTGCAGCAGCAGCAGCTGCTGCTGCTGCTGCAGCTCTTGCTGCTGCTTCTGGGGGTCGTTCGTCTGCATCTGCCGATGCTGTGGTGATCTTACGCGATACTCAGAAGCAGCAGCAGCAGGT